TCAGAAGAAGTTTTGGAATTTGCTGCCAGTGACATCTGACCAAACTCTTTTTCTGAGTTTCACTACTTTGAAATTTGCCAATGACCGTTTTGGGCAGCTCAAGGACAAATTCCACGTGAATGAGGAGAAAAGGAATCATCCTGACTGACTACTACTGTTATTCCTACCAACCCCCACTCCTCTCCTCAGCCCCTGCACAGTCCCCTAAACAGGCTGACACCATGTGGTTGCCTTAATGTCAGGTTTTGCTGTTAAAACCCCAATGTTAGCTGAAGCCCTGTATGTGCTTTGACCAATGAAATGTGCTGGGAGTGAAACCAGTCACCTCTAACACAGGAGTCTGGAATCACTGAGATGCGCCACCCTCCTTGTCCATCTCTGATAACACCTAGCAGGTACCCACATGGTGCTTCTGATTATCCTGGTCTCTGGAGAATTAGTGTGGACATGTGGCATTAATTAGAAATATATCTTCTTTAGTATACTAAAGCTTTGGAGCTATTTTGTTACTCAATATAATATCTAGCCTGTCCTAATGGGTATGTTTTAACAATTCTACTCTCAAGGAAGCAGCAGATCATAACATTCGAAGTCAGAGCTCTGTTATTACAAACACATGGGTTTGCCTTCCAGCCCTGCCTTTAACTCTACAATCAAGCAATTTACTTTTAGCCTCTGAGCCTTGATATCCTCTTCATAAAATAGATGGTTAAACCATCTCAGATTGTGGAGAAGATTAAAAGAAATAGTAATTCTTGTAAGTCATTGAATCCAGAGTCTGATACCTGTAGTAAACATTCAGTAACTCTTAGCTCCATAGCTTCACAATGTGCATTGACTGCAAACATTCTAGTAATGTACAGAATGTCAACTTTTTTTTAAACTTTGTAGCCTTTCAAATTTTGTTTTTAAACAAATAAAATTGGACTATACATATTCTCTCATAGCCTGATTTGCCTCTTAATAATGTGACACTTTATATTTTAAAAAGACCTGACAGCTGGAATGGCTCAGATATTTGAGCATCCTCCCATGCACAGAAAGATTGCTGGTTCGATCCTGGTAAGGCACAAGTATTCTGGCTGGATGCCCAGTGGGTAGGTGAGGGGTTGGCATGAGGCAGCCAATCCATGTTTCTCTCTTTCTTGTCCCGTCCTCTCTCTCAAAAATAAAATAAAACACACACACACACACACACATTAGTGGCCCAGTGCACAAAATCGTGCACATTGAAAGAAAATTAATTAGGAAAAATATTTTAATATCACTATGCACCCTTTATAATAGAAGTGTCAACCAAATTCACGATCGACAATGACAGATGGAAACACATGTGTGCAATTGGCGCCAGCAAGAGCTTTATATGTATAATAATGGAAGTGTAATATGCTAATTAGAGCAAACGTCCTTCCAGATGAAGCCAGGGCTGTGAGGGAAGCCTGGATCCCGGGTGCCTGCTGGTGGCTGGAGGGAAGCCTGGGTCCGGGGTGCTGGAGTAAAATGTTTCCACCTGTGTTCCTGGAATTCCAAGGAGGCTAGTCACTAGGGGGAGGAAGCCAGACATTCCTACGTGACATCATTACCCGGCGCCCACAGCGACTGTTTCGGGCTGGGCTGAGATATGGGCTGCATTTTGTGCCATGGGGTCTTGGCAGCATCAGCTGAAATTTGGTGGGCTGTTGCTCCAAGGTGGTGGCGGAGCCTGTGTCCCACTTGGAGGAAGCTGAGTGTTGCTTTCTACGTGCCAGGTCCGCGATGCTGTTTCTCTGTGTGCGTCACAGCATTAGCATCTGCCCTGTGGTGTTGGTCAGTGTGCGTCATAGCGACTGGTTGGAAGGTGGGAAGGACACTTAGCATATTAGCCTTTTATATAGATAGATATAGACTTCAGGAATCATAGAAATAATATTTTCACCTCAAGGAGCATGCTGAGTTTCCTGGAATCTGAAATAATATCTCCAAGCAAAAAATTAGTTGGAGACAACAATCCCCAGAAACTTGCCACCAGCCCCACAAACCTAATGTCATTTCCAAGCACCACTCCGGCTTCCAAACACCAATATTTGCAATGGTCAGTGAGTGACTGGGATCCTATTTACACCTGGGAGGCCTGAAAAAGTATATTACCCAGAGGGCAATGCACCTAACAATGACTGGGTTTAGCCAATAAAAGCCCAGGAAAGGAATATATATTATCCAGGTGTACGTGGTTGAGGGTGGGTGGGACTTTCTGCATCTTTACCTGATTGTCATGTTGACCTCTTTGGTCTTTTCACAGAGTCTAAGGCTTCCCAGCACCAGGTCTCCAGTAGGAAAAGCATCAGAGGCAGCATCCCCACTGTGCAGTGATGTGTCTGAGGTTTGTTGAGCCCCAACAGGCCAGAATTGGGGCGTTTGTGACTCCCAGACTCCTCACGGCTTACAGAGTTCAACTCAACCTCACCAGATTTAACCCTCCAGCCTCTCAGGTCCTGCAGTCCAGGTCGCCGTGCCCAGAACAGTGAGTCGCTCCTGTGTGACAAAAGGTATGATGGATGAAAGAGGTTAACAGGCTGCACCACCACCATGTAAGGACTTGATGGTGTGACTGAACCAGGAGGATTTGGGAAACCCAGGGCTTGTTTTGTATCTAAAGGCAAAAAAAAAAAAAAAAAGATGAGGCAAATTTTTTCATGAGGAGTTTTACTTTCATTCTCAGGAAACTGGGGGCATGGATGGTCCTGACCAAAAGAGGGTCATTGTCTGAGGTAGGGTTCTAAACTTTTCCCAAAGCATTTCAGGAGAAGAACAGACTAGAAGAGAAAGGATAGTAGTTAGGGGCAGGAAGTAGAAGTCCTATAAATGATAAGGTAACTGGCAAGAGTGTACACTGAGGACTTAGCCTTGAGGTAACGCAGTCATCTCCAAGACACGTGGCCCCATTGGCTGGGCAAAGATACTGAGCAGTCTAAGCCCATGGATCGTTGTGGTGGTGGCGGCCAGGGTCTCAACTGACCTTTCTCTTAACGCAGATTCCTTCAAATGCATAATTGCCTTGGAGTACTGATTTGTGGAGTGATTTAAGTGCCTCACACTCTTATGACCTCTGAGATATGGTGTGCTTGGATGGTCCTACCACTCTTCTAGCCCTTGGACCTGGGACACTAAGCCTAGAACCCTAAGTCCAGGTCTAGGTTCATGTGAGTGGTCCCTGTGTTTCGGAGGTTCTCAGGCATAGGATCCAGAATGTGCAAATGAAAACTGAATTGGTTCAGGGACCGGCCAGTATCTGTTATTTTTTACAATAGGGACCGTTAACTCTGGGACAGATCAGGTGTAGAGGCGCTTTGTGATAGCTCAGATGTGTGCTCTGCTCTGGCTGAAGCCTAATGAATAATATGGGTGTGCTGGAAGTGGTAGAAAGAATAGGAACAGAGACTTGTCAGTCCAAAGGCTGGCACTCTATCCACTGTGCCAAACCGGCTAGGGCATCTGTGATAGTCTTGATGAGTGTGATGGTAAGTGGCCCATGAAGTTGGCTGTGGAAGTGCTACATGCAGTTGGATTCTGCATGTTTTTTAATATTTGCCACCAGCATTTTCTAATTATAAGGTTTAGGGAGTGAAAGGGAGGTGAGAGTTAAAGATGATGTAAAGGTTTGGATTTAGCAGCTGAAGGTATAAAAGCACCATTTATTGACACGGAGAAATTCATACTAAAAGAAAAATGTTCATTGCAGATGCAAAGTCTTTTATATTAGGCCTGTTTGGGGTATGAGATAATTCATAGAGCAATTCAAGAGTTGTCTGGAACTCTGAGGAAAGTTCAGGTTTAAGACATTGAGAAAAGTTAGTTGAGAGTGTATGAACTTAGATAACCTTTAGTAGGGGGCATGCAGGATTCAGCTGATAGTGATTCTCTCTCATCATTGATCTTTCTATCTCTCATCTCTCCCTTTCTCTCTGAAATCAATAAAAAATTTATTTTTAAAAATATATATTTTATTGATTTTTTACAGAGAGGAAGGGAGAGGGATATTTAGAAACCGATGAGAGAGAAACATCGATCAGCTGCCTCCTGCACACTCCCCACTGAGGATGTGCCCGCAACCAAGGTACATGCCCTTGACCGGAATCGAACCTGGGACCCTTGAGTCCACAGGCCCATGCTCTATCCACTGAGCCAAACCGGTTAGGGCTATTTTTTTTTTCAAGAGAGTAAATTAGTATGACAGCGTTCATGGGGTCCCAAACTTTTTGGGTGTTAGAACGCACATTAATAATGGCATAAAATCATTCTTTGTCCAATATTGGGTTATTTTACATAGCTGATCAAGGCCTTGAAAGAAAGTCTGCATGACTTTGTGGTTCTAATATGCATCCTGGTGCCTCTATCATTGGTGAGTTCAATTGTCACCCAGAATAGGAGTCCATTGTTGTGCCTGTGTGAACAATATGAATTATACTCTCTGTTCACAATAAGTATTACATAATTCTCAGCAATTTTTAGGGGAACTCCTCCCCACATACTGTAAAGGTGCCATGTGCCATGATGTATGAAATTTCATAGGCTGGTGTAATTTGTTGTAAGACTCTGAGGCTTAAATGGAACCACTATTAGGACAGAAACAGTATTCATAGTGAGTGGGAAAGACTGCAGTAAATTGGAGGAAAAGTGCCTCTTCTGAACGTTTTCCACAAATGATCAAAGGTCTGTGGCTGGTGTGATCTTTGTGTACAGACATTCTCAGGGCCTCCATAACTGTTTTCTGTGGCTGAAGTCATTGGCAGAAAAAATAAACACTCAGTTATTTGGATTCCCCTGGCCCATCCAGGGTGTTCACCTCAAGGTTTCCTCAACTGGCAAGATCTCAGAGCTGAGGAAGGATAATCCTATAATCAGTCCCAGGTTGTATTTTTTGTAACCAGTCAGCATTCCTGTGGATTCTGATGGCAATAGTTTTCACTGCTGCCAATATTTGCTGAACCTGAGGCAAGGCTGGTCCTCCCAGGAAATTAGGAGAGATATGGTAGAGCCCATATAGGGTTATCATTTTATTTTTCTAACAAGTCAGGGATATCCAGGTCTTTATTTGGAAGTGCTTCTCCAGGATTTATTAAGTATATTTATAACTGAAATGCAACAAAATGCACTCTTCTATGTACTATGTGGTGAGCTTAGACATATGGATAAAGCTCTAAAAACATCACATGTGAAATAAAGGTATCGCTCACCTATATACAGGTTAGAGCAAAAGTAGGCTTACAGATATGAGTATGCAAAGCACAGAGTTTATTCTTTTTTATATAAGTCTTTTATATATTTAAAAATATTTTATTGACCTTTTAGGAAGACAGGAAGGGAGAGAGAAATGATGATATGAGAAAGAAACATTGAACTGCTGCCTCCTGAACGTCACCTACAGGGCATCCAGGCAGGCATGTGCCCTGACCTGGAATGGAACCAGTGACCTTTCAGGGCAAGGGATGATGCCCAACCAACTGAAGTAGAATGACCAGGGAAGAGATTATTCTTGTTTTATTATTTATTAACTATTGTATTAACTTCCATACCAACAACCCTAAATCTACTTTACCACACCCTATATTTACCTCCTGCCCTTTTATACTCTCTGTGCCTTCCCCAGTTCTAAATGCAGTCATTGATTTTCCTTCCAAGATTAGTTCATATTTTTCATGTTATAAACATTGTAATGTGTATATTATTTTAAACATATGGGACTCTTTCAAGCTACAGAGTTATTTTCGGCTTCAACACTAATGCTTATGTGAAAAGTTAATTGTCTTTTTATTGCTGAGTAGTACTGTGTTCTGTAAATAAGCACTCTATTGATCAGTTTATGGTTTTGGCTATTTTGAGGTTTGCGATATTATAAATACATTGTCTGGGGATATTGAGTTCAGTTTTTTATATAAATGTATGTTTTTCTTGTCTAACTGTTGCAGTATAAGTGAGTGTTTTACTTTTAAGATATGCAGAGCTGTGATCTAAAATGGTCCTTCCTTTGCCTTCCCAGCACATGCGCTGTTTAATATTTTTAAACTGTAGGCCTGAAAATCAGTAGTGTTAACTTGTTTTGTTTTAAATCCATTTATCTAAGAAATTTTTAGTGACCATTTCTTTATGCATTTATTTGCACTGTCTTTATATTTTTGTTGGAAAGTCTGGTCAGAAACTTTTGCCTATTTTTAAAAGGAATTTATGATTTAATCAATAGGAAGACAGTTCAGCATCTAAGACATCTGTTTTCACTTCACTCATTCCTCAAGGACTCAACTTCTTTCTTTGCCATTTGGAACTATATGTTTTGAATACTGGGAAGAAAATTGTTTTTCTAAAATTGTATCCTATGTAGAATGTAAAGCCCACTTGCATGATACACTTATAAGGTTAACCTACGTTGCTAACATTCTCCACCATTCAGTTTAAGTTGAAGTATTCAATAGCATATTAAGTGAAATCAAGGTCTGTAGTATTTGTCAATTTTTCTGGTGTAAATACTATCCTGACCATCACTTTCAAACTTCCAAAGTCATAGCACTGAACATGAGCCTGATAAGATACTTCAGTAGCAAATCATTATATTTTATTTCCAAGTTATTGACACAGTAGGTACAAACATGCTCAAGAACATTCATAATAAAATTGTAAAATAATTGGGAAGTGGCAAGTTTTAATCATTTTTTAAAAAACTTTGTTGTAAGCATAATTGATTTAAAACATACATTCAAAACTGTATTTTTATTGATTTCAGAGAGGAAGGGAGGATAGAAACATCAATGATGACAGAGAGTCACTGATAGCCTGCCTCCTACATACCTCACAATGGGGATCCAGCCCACCTGAGTATGTGCCCTGACTGGGAATGCAACTGTGACCTCTAGTTTCATAGGTCAATGCTCAACCATTGAACCACACCGGCCAGGCTCTCCTAAGCTTTTAAAGGATCCCAACTAACCTGAAAGGGGGGCAGCAATGAGCAGTGACAGCTCAGCCTGAACTAACCCCCTGAACCTGCGCTCAAGGCCTCCCTTTCTCTGATTCTCCAGTGAGCTCACAGCAGCCCTCCCTGGCTCATTTATTTCCCACAATCTTTCAAGGAGCCCCTCCTAGTCTCTCTGCTGTTCCTTGTTCTATCCTAAACCCTAGTTTCTTTTTTTTTTATTTTTTCATTATCCCCAGCTTTAATAAATGTTCCTCAAAATCTCTGAACTCATGTGACATCTTCTCTGCATGAAGTCAAGAACTCAAACACTACAGGCCAAGCTGAGGGAGACCAGCTCCAGGCTGGATCCTGTTCCCTAAAAGTTATGCCTGGGACATCCTCCTATATAATCAAAGACTAATACGCAAACCAACCAAAGGGCTTAAGGACTGGTCACTATGATGCACACTGAACACCAGGGGGCAGACGATCAATGCATCAGCTGCCCCCTAGTGGTCAGGTTGCTCCCACAAGGGGAGCCTGCTCAGCCAGAAGATGGGCTCAGGATGGCAAGCGCAGTGACTGTCCCTGGCAGGAGCCTCTCCCACCACAGTGGCAGCGCTAAGGATGTGGGACTGCGGGCTCCGGCCTGTTCTTGGGGCCGTCAGTCAGACATCCCCTGAGGGCTCCTGATGTGGAAGAGGCAGGCCGAGCTGGGGAACCCCCTCCCTCCCACTGCACTATTTCCTGCACCGAAGCCTCTAGTCGTCTACAAAGACAGAGCAAGACGCACTCCGCTGCCTCCGCGCCAAATCTGTCGGCTCCCTGGAACCTAGGGCTGCCGAGGGAACCAGGCGCTCAGCAGCCGCCGCTGGGCCGCAGTGTGCGGGTCGCACGGTGTTCCCAGGGGTGCACGGTGTCCCTGAGGGGCCCACAGGTGTGTGGGGAGCACAGATGACATTGGGGGGCGTAGCCTGGGCGGCGCCCTCGGCGGCCACCCATCCGGCCCCGCTCACCCGGCTCTGCCCGGCCTCCCTGC